ACGCATCCTAGGTCCTCAAGTGTAATAGTTAAGACATTCTAATAGAGGAGGTCTATGAGTAGATCCACCTTCAGTAAAGAAACTCATGATGAAAAGCAATCAGGTAGATGCTAACACACAGATGGAAGTGCACACACAAACAAACAGCAGATCTGAAGTAAAAATGCAATACAAACTAGATTTCATCCACAGATGCAAACAAAAATGAGTAAAATGGGTAAGGATCTACTGAAGTAACTTATCAGAACTCGCTTTGATACCAATTGTTAGGGATTGGTTAAACCACTTTGGTTTTGGATTATCCATTTTAAAGTGCAGCAAAAATATTTACCAAGTAGATTAAGACATTTCCAGGTTTTAGCCTCATCAAACACAAGTGCAGAAAGTAAAGAACACAGCCATATACATGGTTCGGCTAAATCCACTTTTGGCCTACATCCATGTGACTTTGTTCAGATCGAAGCAATCCACAAAGTTAAAAACACATTACAAGATATAGTTCAAAACTGATATAAGTTATAGTAAAAAGAACTCTCTGTTCAACTTTACACTTAGCACCACACTCTGAATCCTTAACGTGTATCAACTCCTTGGAGCTTCCTCTCACCAGGAATACACCCGAAAACAGCTTGTAAACCACCAAGCTTTAAGCACCGACGCCATGCACCAGCATCAACAAAGGAACCACGTTCCAACAGTCATCAGATCTATGTTTGATATGATGAGGGTTTGGCACAAAATGGAAAATGAACCTTGAATCTTAAGAGAAAGAATACTCTAAGAAATTCAGAGTAAAATGAAATAAGAGATCAAAAGGTTAGATACATTTGCGCAAGAAAGAGTATTATATAATGAAAGATTTCTTGCTCAACAAAATAATGCCACATCAGCCAACAAGGAGTAGCTGACCCATGTTTATCCAAATAAGGAAAGTATTCATTCTTTTGGTTTGGACCACAAAACAAATTGGGGAAGATAACTTTATTCCCTAGGACCACTTAAGGAAAATATGACACATGTAAAAAGGTCATAAATATCAAGAGACAAAGATAAACATAATCTTTTTCTCTTTATCAGACACGCAACTCGTGTTGGATTGCAAAAATTTTGAAGCGAGAGTGAAAGCACAGACTGCTGTGCACACACACACTCGAGACAAAACAAGCCAAGACACATATCTGATAAACTATGTGTACTAAGAATTGATGTGCACACACACAACAGATGAGACAAGCTAAATAAAAGGATTAGTAGCAAGTGTGCACACATAACTGTTGTGCACACACACACAATTCATAAGTTTGATAAAAATAAATATTCTACATTGTCCCCCTTTGTCAAACTTATGAACAAAGATCATAATAAAAGAGATCAAGTGCAAACCTGTCTAAATCAACCATTTAAGACCTACAGATTTGCACACACAAAACATGAAAACAAGATAACCAAAAACAACACAAATGTAAACACATGGTTAGTACATAAACTGATAAAAATGTCAAAGCAAGATAAGTAAAGAGTTTTAAAAAGTAGCAAAAAAAATAACAAACTCCCCCATTGAGAGACAACGCAAGATTCAAAATTAGAGAGAGTACTTGGGTTGGTAGCTATATCTAATTGAAATTTATCATTTTCTCTTGGATATTATGAAGTGGTTGAGTTGGTGCCATTGTAGCAACCGAGCCGAGCTTAATAAGCCATATACTCAGCTTGGTTCGACTTGGTTGCACCCCTAGTTGGTGTCACTATCGAATAATTATATTTAAGTAATTTGGACAAGTCAATTGGCAATAGAAGTATTGAATTAATTGTAATGTTATGTGTGGAAAATGTATATTTTTCTAAACTTCTCATGTTTGTGAGGATTACCAAGAGAAAAGGTAATTTAAAATTTAAAATAATTAATTAATATAAATATACAAAAATAATTATCAGAGAAGAAGTGCTTCTTCTCCTTCCCCAAGTGTCACACAGATACTTTACGAGTCTTATGATTTGTGTAGTATGTCATGCCTGTCTCTTTGGTTTCCTCTTAATCAATCTTAAACATATTTAAACTCCCAATAATTTATTAATTAATTTTAGTTGTCCAATAATTTAAGTGTTTTAGATGATAGTAATTGGAATCTTGATAATTGTTGGTTAATATAGTTTAGGCAATTTGTTTTAAATATAAGGGTATTATTATCCAAAAACTTAATTAAACAGGGGTAAAATTGTAATGAAAGATTAGTGTAAATTGTTTTTAAAACAAGGGTATTATTGTCCAAAAATTTTATTAATAAAAGATAAAATTATAACAAAAATAAGATTATCAAGTAATCTTAAAATACTTAAGAAAATAAAAGTAATCAGATTACCTTTTATATTATCAATAGTAACTACTAATGGTTTTAAAAGATTATCGGGATCTTATATTACTTGACAACTAAATATGATAATAAAATAATATAATATGAGATTACTTCAATAATTCAACATTACCTTCAACCAAACACACCCCTAATGTTAATTTAATTGTTAGCATCTTAGAATAAATAGTTTATTCACTAATGTTGATGTGACTAATTTAATTGTCCACTTTTGACAAGGCAGCCCGCAAAGGCCCCTAGCAATTCCAAGGTCATCTCACATTCCAACAATGTATATTGGGCCTCATACTAAGGTATGTTCTCTTAACCCTTTTTGGGAGATCAGCAAACCCGAACTGTTTAATGGGGCATTTTGATGAGACATGGTGTGATACGAATCATATGATTGAGTACATCTTTGAATAGGCCCACTTGAAGGGATTCTAAATGAATACCTTCGTCCTAATAAGCTACAAAAATGATTTGAGGACCTATGTCCAAATTATTTTCAAAAAAAAAAATTCTCATAATAAAAATCCCAAGAGTGAGTGGTTCCAAGTACCTTGCATTTTTTAAAGGAACCCGAACTGGAACCACATAGTGCAAGTTCTAAAAAAAGGAACCACAACCGAAACCTGAAATGCAGGTTCTAGCTCCTTATCCGAGTATCCTGAAAAAAATCAATTATCCCTTATTAGTTTAAAAAATGACAAAAATACCTTAAAAGTTTACAAATACACCCTTAACAAATCAAGAAAACCTACATTTAGTAGTTTTCAACTTTTGATTATTCATTCATTTGTGTCTAATGTGACTCATAAATCCTCTAATATTTAGGTGACACTTAAATTCAATCAATTCATCACAATTCATATTAAATTTCTCAATCAAAATCAAAACACAAACAGGTTCCAAGCAGGTTCCAAGCTGGGTATCCACTTCAGGTTCTTTTCTTAGGTTTTGGTTCTGATTCCGGTTCCAAAACTTGTAGGAATCGGAACCAGAACCGGAACTGCACAACGTTGGTTCCAATAAAATGGAACTGGAACCGGAATCGCACAGTGTCAATTAAAAAAAATGGAATAAGAACCTACTTGCACAGTATCGATTCCGAGTAGGTTCCGGTTTTACCTACTAGTTTCGGTTCTACTTGCTACCCATACTCACCACTAAAAAACGCTTACAAAATAATTATCAATGCATGTAGGCATGACATTACATATTTTTTTCAGTTTTTTTGCTGACACCTGAAGTTATGAAAATAACCCCGATTTGACAATTTGTTGACTTTGAGTTGAGTTTTCAATACAAAGTCGTTTTATCTGATTTTATATTTTCTAAAATCCTAGAAAAATACAAAAAGCTCCAGTTTTAAATTTCATAAATTTTTGGAGTTGTATTTCATTTTATAAAAATGTTTCTTTGTCAAAAACTTTTTGTTTTAGCCTTTCAAGTCCCATCTTTATTTTAATTCTTTTCAAAGGACGTTTTTAACGTTTTAAGTTTTTTTACTACTGATTCAATGTTATAAATTCGTTCTACTTATTTTCTTTTCTTAAAATTACTAAAAAGCCCTTTACAGTCCTTTATATGGGCAACATTGTAATTTCAATTATATTTTTTTATTTAAATATTTTTAAAACCCAAGATAAATGTCTACGAAACTTATCTTATAATTTTAAGATTTATTAATTTATTTTAATAAATCCAGTTTTTTATTTAGTCCATGATTTATCTCTTTTAAACTCTTTATTTATCTAATTATCTATTTTTATTTTACATTTTAACTAGGTGAGATAATTATTTAAGTGTTTCACCAATAATTATCCCTTCTTAATAAATATCTAAAAATCCATTTTATTAATTAAGAAATCCTTATGTGTCTTGAGCATGTTTAAGGATGTTAAATCTTCCGAGAACTAATTTTTTAGCCAAAATTACAAAACCCGTGTTTTTCAATAAAACAGTTCGCACAAACCCCCGCGTCTGACCGTCTGACACGTTTTAGATGGTTTTCCACGTCTGGTGGATTTTTAGAAAAGTTAAATCATTTTTACTTGGCCGTTTCAGTTTATGTCTTTTGGGTTTTGGCTTAAAGTTAGCAACTTTTAAATATTTTTCCAGACTTGCTTTTGGTTTCTTCGATTGGAATTCGCTAAGCAAGTCTGCAATGTGATTCTTCTTTAAGCCAATCTTTGGAGGAATATCGCAGGTTGACTTCTACACTGATCAGAATCTGCGGTGGAGTGTTGCTTATAACAAGTTTTCAAGTATATATGTATCTAGTCCATTATGTAGCAATCACCGAAGCATGATTTTTAAAAATAATGGCTTGAGAGGAAAAATATTGTAAATATGCCTGAAGGTTTTATATATGTATATAGCAAACATATAACATTATCAATTTTGCTTGATAGTGTCATCAAATGCAATTTGCTTGATAGAACAAATTGCAGGACAGAACATACAGTTTGTATTAAAGTGAACAGAAAGACCGCTGCTGCAATCTTGACATAAATAAGTTTACAGGTTGCCTTGGCATGGTTCCAGCTACTTTGATAGTGCTGTTTCAGCCTATCAGAAATTCCGAAGTAATAGGAATGACGTTGAGGAATTTGTCGGCATAGTTCATTAAACATGTTCGCTATTTCAGCATTGCTGCACAATAAATTTAAAATAATCTACATCTTTTTCAGTTTTGATGAGAAACGTAAGTAGATGAATGTAACTGCATATGTAAGTTTCCGATGGATAATGACATTGCTCTAGCGCCATCAGATTTCGGATCACACATTCTGTGTTTTCAGTTATTTCAAAGCGTGGAATTTCCAGCTCAACTACATTAAACAACGGAGTTTTTCGATCATTGAATTTTACTTCAACCAAATATTTACCCCATCTAGGCTTCACTCCTGATTTTTTCAACTTGACTACGTTCGGTAAAGCATCAGCGGTCGTCATTGGAAGACTAAACCTGGGAGTCTCCGGAATTTCCACTAGAGAAAACCTATATAAATCAGTGAAATGATTAATTTTGACATCCTGACGTTGGCTAGAAAGTGGCCTATTGTGCGAGCGATTGAGTTGAAAGAAACGACCAGCAAGATTAATGATGGGAATTTGGTTACCAGAAGCTTTTTGTCCGGCTAAGTTATATAAATCCTCAAGCACAAAATACGGAAGCTGATTTTCGAGTAAGAGTAAGTCCCTTCTTATAGTTCCTAGCCATACCTCATTTAGCAAAAAATCGCCTTGATGTTCAAACCGAACTCGCAAGAAGAGCTCGATGATGAAAATGGCATCCCGCAGAACCATCGGTAGAAAGACATCAGGAGATAATTGGATTGGCTCAGCATATTGATAGCAGATTTTTGTTTGTTTGGTTACAATATAATTTCTGAATTTCTCCAATTGATCGAGGGTAAGTCCATGAAAAAATGCGTCCACATATCTTTTTTTATGATTTTCCATGGCAGCCAAAACTTGTTCGCCGAGGTGATAAGGGCCTATTGAAATTAACTGAGGAGAGTATGCTCCTGGGTTTACTTTTCGTAGATTTTCAGGAACCTTGTGAATACAACACTCTGCAATCTCAACGTCCCTATAAATTGCAATCTCACGTCGTTCCACAGCATCACCACTTGCAGAGTTGTCCGCCATCAAGCTACCTCCGCTCTTGAGCAACTACACTTTTCAGTAAATAAACAACCCAATCAGCTTAATTTGAAAACAAAATCGTTTCTATTTCATGAATTAGTTTTCTTTTTAATTTAGCCCCAAGTTTTTTCATCATCAACAGATTTATAACTTAATTTCAACTTTGAGATAAGATTTTAACTTCGCATCTAGGCTACCAAATTCTATTTGCAAAGAATGAACATATAATTAAGTAAGGAATAATGTATTAATCTACAAACTTACAGAGATTGAAGAACTAGGGTTTTGTTACTCGTAGGCGTAGCTACACAGATCATCAAATCTGGGCTTATGATTAACGGTTTGATGATGATCATTTGTGTTTCTTTTCTCAAGTGTGTTTTGCTGATCTGTTAAGTCATACGGATTGCCAGTGTGGACTCATTTTGAGTATAAAATCAAGTAATGATCAGTTTTTAATCAAGTTGAATGTTAATAAAAATTTCAGATCTGGAAAACTCTGTTTTCTCCCAAACTTTATGTTTGCGTCTCTGGAAAGTTTATTACTTTCTGGAATTTTCTTCGTTTAATCCTAGGATTCTTACAAGAAGACTCCTTCCAAAAAGCATTTTAGCTAAAAAGAGCCTTTTTGATTAAGGATTTGTAAAAGAAGAGGAATGTTTGAATAAGGTTAAAGACATGATTTGACCCTCTTCTCCTTAATTCCCATTCTATTTCACTCTTTTAAAAACAACAACATCCTCTGCCTCACTTCACATAAATATTCAAATTGACCAGAGAAATAATACATATGCAAATGAAGTAATTAAGAAAGAACGAACATTTATAAATAAAGTAGTAAATGATCTGAGCTTTTTGGCCGGGGAAGAAATACTTTAATGGCTGAGTAGAGAGCAAGATCTTCTCCTTGTGATTATGAACTCACTCGTGTTCTCTCTTAACCACTCTTACATATGGTTTATACTATAGTCAGAGAAATAAATCATTAAAATGGCCGACACTTGGTTGGCTCCATCGAGCCACGTGAAAAGAAATAAGGAAAGTTACAGTGAAAGCAAATGGACCCAATACACTTTAAGTTTTTTGTCGACTTCGTATAAGGCGTGATAAGTGGAGGGGCTCTAGGTACTTCAGAAATACAGGACATGTGGGCATTGCTCCAGATACTTCAGAAATACAGGACATGTGGGCATTTTAGCTTGGCAGCTTTTCAAAATTGGCTTACGAAATGGTTAATAAAGCCCATTGTGTTGGTGAACTCTAAATACAGCTATCAAATCCCTCTAGTCCCTCTTAGTTTATGTTTCCTACAATTAATTTGTAACATGTTATGCCCAAGAGAACTTTCTAACTACTTTAACTTCATATTTCATCACACACAACCTCATTTTTTTTTTTTTTGTTTTAAGTGTATAAGTGGTTGTCAATAAATCAGATTTTTCATATAAGAAGATAATGTTAGTTTTATATTGTCTCTTTATTATAGATAAATATTATTCGAAAGACCGAAGATGTCAAATATTGTAAGTCTCTATATAATTTAGCACATTCTACTAAAAAGATGAACATGCTTATCTATTATGTACAAAACAAGTTAGTAGTGACACAATAAATTGAGAAAATACTAAAAGAGAAAATAATAATTGATATACATTATAAACCCCCACACTTTTGTTCATGAAGAATGAAAGTAGATTTCATTAGTATATTTTCTATAACATATGTAAGTACTACGTATAGAAGAGAAGGTACCTTCTAAAGATTTTTTAACTTAAGAGTGTCTTTTTGTAATAAAAACTTAAGAAGAAGGGCCTATAAAAATCTGTAGGGTAGGATTATGGGAGAGAGTAAGTCACGTGAGCTCAAGAAAGAGAGATGACGCAAGCCATGTGACGGATCACAGAGGGTCATTTGTGTGATATTTTTAATCTAAGAGAGATTTCTGAGAAAAAAATCGAGAATAGGGTGTTGATTGTGATAGGATCTTGAAGGATAATGTTAAAGGGAGAATACGTGGGGTTAGAGCTGGGCATTTGGGATCGAGCTCAAAAGCCTAGCTCTAAAACCCAGTCCTAAGACCGGTCCTTGAGAGGACCGGACCTAGGAGGCCTGGTCTCAAAACGGGACCAGGCTTAAGGAGGAGGGCCCTCCTCCAAGGTCCCTAGCCTGGGCCCAAAAAATTTTGTATTTTTTCAATATAATAGCCTGCCAAATTACATAAAACCCCCTATTAATTTTGAATAAATATAAATTACGAGGGCTAAAAAAAATTTTACAAAATTTAAAAAAAAAAAAATCTTCTAGGTCTAAAAAATTTATAAAATTTATAAATTTTACCTCTAAAAAATACTAAAAACCCCCTATAAAATTTTGTTTTACCCCCAAAATATAAAACAAATTGAGGGGGGAAAAAAATTAGCCAAGCCCCATGGGACCAGTCCCTACCAAGCCTAAGGCCTGGTCTGGGTCTTAATTTTTCTCATGGGCCTGGGACTATTCCCAGACCCATGAGTGACTGGTCCCATTTGGGACCAGTCCCAAACGGGCCTAAGCCTGGGCCTACTTGGGACTGGTCCCTGCCCACCTCTACATGGGGTTATCTGTAAAAGAACTTTGTAAGTACTTTAACTTATTATTTTATTAAATATCACCGTATTTATAAGTATGTCATGTAGTTGTGAACAAATTTGATTTACCATACGAGAAGATAAAGTTACTTTGTATTGCTTTTTTTTTTTTTTTTTAATTATTATGTTATTAATAATTTATAGAAGACCAAAGATGTCAAAATCAAATATTTTAGGTCTACAATTAAAGACATTCGACTATAAAGATGAATATGCTTATCTACTATTAACCAAAAACAAATTACACAATAAATTTAAAAGATAATAAAGTTAAGCTCAAAACAAGTCGAAATCTAACATAATTCATTATAAACCCCTGCACTTTTGTTTATAAACATGAAGGTGGATTTCGAGAATATATTTTCTATAACATATGTAAGATTTTTGAACTAATTAGGGTATTCTAAAAAGTAAAAGCTTAAGAGGAAGGGCCTATCATAAATTGGCAGGGCAGGATTTAGGGTGGGACTGAGTGACATGAGCAAAGAAGAGAGATGACGGATTAGAGATGGTCCTATCTGTAATATTTTTAATTTAAAAGAGGTTTACTGAAATAAAAAATTGAGACCTGGAAGGTGTGAATAAACAATGGAGATTGCTGGTTCGGATACTAGACTAATGGATTTATTTTCTTACCCTGCTCAATTTAGAGTCGGGTTTATTCTGTTTATAATAAACTTGATTAGTAATAAGGAATGATTAGTTAGTATTTTATATATATATATATTGTCTGATTCTATCAAAAGTTGTTAAAATGGCTTTATCATGGCCCGGGGAGACATGTTTTAAATTATTTTAACTATGACGTTCACAATAGCTATATGTTAATATTGGGTTTTAGATACCTTTAAACTATTCTTTTTACATAATAATTTATTAAAAAAAAAAGCATTTTGTTAAAAATAGAATTTGGTACAAATTCTTAGTTAGGCAGATGTTAAGTCGCAACTTTGCTGAACAAAAAGAAAGAAAGTAGAATGCATACACATTCACATTGGTTAGAACGATTGATCAAATTCTCAGTCCCACCACGGACCACACTCAATTTTTATTATTTTATTATTTTATTATTTTATTGGAAGGAATGAATACATGTGAAAAAGGACTTTAAAATTAATAAAAAATTATCTCAAATAACCACTATCAATCAACATGATACAGACTAAGCAGAATGGAAAAAATTATAAATGATGATATAAGAAAAGAGAATTTCCTGAGTTATACTAAAAACTCCTTATCGAAAAGGATAAATCAACTGATTCTTAAAATAGGACCTACATATTTTGAATATAGAACAAAAAGAAAGAAAGAAAGGACAAGAGAAAAATAGGAAAGAGAAAGAAACCGAGAGAAAATAAGGAAGAAAAGAAAGGGAAAATTAAAGAAAAAGATGATCGAAAATTGCGCCACATTACAATTATTGCCAATTGGCTTGTCCCTAGTTAACGTACTTATATTTATTGTGATCAACAGTAACAAATACCAACCCAACTGTATCTTCATAATATCCGCGAGAAATAATAATTATATCACTATTAATTAGATATGGCTACACACCCAGACTTCATTTGTTTATGCCATTTTCAATCACTATTAAGTTTTTATTTGGTATTCTTCATATTTTTATCAGTGATATATATATATATATATCCTCTCCACAACAAAATTGCATACTAAATTTCATTGTCTCATTTTAAAATCAAAAAATTATTTATAATAACTCTACATTTGCCCTCATCTATATTACTAACAAACAAGGTTTGGGTTGGTAGCCATATCTCAATCATAATAAATACGATACTAATTATTTCTCTTTAAAATTATTAAGTTGTTGGCTTGCTTGGTATTCATCACTGTCAGTCATAATAAATATGGTTAAGTTATTTAGGGATGAGAGAATTATTCAATTAATTGTGATGTTATGTGTGAAAATGTATATTTGTATGCTAGCTTTGGGTAATACAGCATTCAGACGTATGTCTGGTGAAATGCAACCATTGGACTTGAAAAAGAATAAAAGATTGTCAGCACAAACTTGTTAATAATTCCTTTTTCAACAAGCAATTCAACATCCTTTTTGTGTCGATAAGAAATTACCTTTTTTCAAGACAATAAAATGAAAGATGCAATCATTAAAAGTAATAGATATACAAACTCCTAATACAAATTGACTCGGTATAAACTGAATTTGTATACAAAATCAACTCAAATAAATTTTAATTTATATAGAAGAATAATTTGGCAATAAATTTGTATACAGTTTGTACATCAATGGCTAATCATACATGTAGCATCATTTATCCTTAATCTATGTTGCCTGTCTATGGCAAATATCTCATAATTTGGTTTAGCTATATATGTTTTGTAGATCTCTGATATTATTATTTCCGGGCTATTATTGGTAATGATATTCTATTCTAAACCTTTGAGTGAGAAAAGATTTTGGTGAGTGATGAAGTGTTAGGGTTAGAAAAGATTGCACTTGGTACTCATATATACGCTATTACTATAAACCCCCGCAAATTAATTTCTTGATGAAGAATGAGAAGGTGGGTTTAATTTCCTTTATATATGTAAGCACTACATGAGCAGAGAAGGTTCGTTCTAGAAAGAGGAAAAAATTGTTGAATATTTTATGAAGGAAAGGATGATTTACTTAGATGCAAATTATATACACTTGCATTAAAACAAGAATTAGCAGTTTAGTACGATAAAAATCGGGAGGATAAAGCTGTGGGCAGGGCCACCATATCCTCTACCGGTTCGGGCAATGCCCAGCCTTCGCCATGAGATTTGCCAATCCGTAGAGAAGAGGAGGTTAATTTAAATATTTTCAAACTGTGAATGGACTTTCTAACCAAAAGGACAAGAAGAAGGACCTATTTTGAAATTGCGATGGCGGGAATTTAGCAACAAAGTGACGTGAGCGAGAAAAGGAGCGATGATTGCAGGCCATGTGACAAATCAGAGAGGACCCTTTTTGTAATATTTTTAATCTAAGAGAGGTTTTCAATAGGATCGAGAATAAGGGACTGATCCTGCAAAGATCTTGAAGGATTAGGACTATCCGTAGACAAGATTAATGTAAAAATTAAATAAATTATAAAACACAAAAAGATGCCATACAAAGTGTAAAAAAAGGGAGTGGAATATTTTTGGGAAGTATTATTGAAGTTATATAAGGAAAACAAATAAGATTTTATATTTTTCTTAAGTTTTAAAATTAATTTTTAACTTTAAACAAATATAATTAGTCATAAGTCTTAAATTGCCCAACCAAACAACGCATAAGTATCTTAATAATAGATATCCACCTTAATTAAGTATTCATGAAAGAACAAATAGTCGCTAACTAAGCTCCACTTTCACTTTGAAAGATGACAAATTAGTAAAATTATTGAGTTCAGATACAAATAATTATATTTTCTTATTACTTTTAATCCTTTTGTTTATTATATTTTCTTAGAATTAATGGAAGAATATACAAATTATTAAACTCTGCATATTGTCATGGCCTTAGTGAAACCGTGTGGCTTTAGAACACGATTCAAATATTCTTTGTGTCAAAGCCTCTAATTAGAAATTGGACCTCCTAAGTGCATTGGGTTGCGTCCGACATAACATTATTATTCGTTTCATCCTGCCGTAATAATATTCTTGCAAAAGTTATATAATTTTATTTCCAAGTTATTGAACAAATAAAAATATTAAACAATTAATAAATGTATAAATAAATTTTATTAATTCTGAAATAAAATTTCTAAACATCCAAACATTATAGGTCATAAACCTTAACAAACTACAATGTATAACAACAAAACCATTATGTATCAAACTCAGTACAAATATAACAATCACTTAGATTTATTTAGGCAAGACTACCTGAAGGATAGAACAGACAGTTTGTGTCAAAGTGAGCAGTAGGAGTATAATTGCAACAACAATTGCGGTGCTTCTCCAAGGATTGTTGAAAAAACACATTTTTCAAGGTTGCTGTAGAAGAGAGAAAATTGGGGGAAACTTCTGTGTATTTCTTCGGGTTAACAAATACAATCTGTACACTGCTTTTTATATTTGCAAACTAACTCAGTAAACTACTAACTGCAGCTAACTAACTCTGTTAATAGGTAACCAAACTTGTAACTAATTGTCTTAACAATAACAGTAACTAACTTTACATTTGAACGAACAAACTAAACTGTACAATACTTAATAAATTAGCTACTGTTAACCCCCTCCCTCAAGTTGGAGGGCGGTAGAGGTCAAGCACACCCAACTTGCTTAACAATCTGGAATGCAATGGACTGATAAGAGCTTTAGTGATCAGCAAGTCTGCAGGCTGTTCAGATGACGGAATATAGGCAGTGGTAATGACTCCAGTTTGAGCTGTTCTCTCACAATGTGGCAATCAATGTCGATGTTTTTAGTCCTCTCATGGAAGATGGGATTTGATGCAATGTGATTAGCAACCTGGTTGTCACAGTGAAGAGGTATAGGAAGCAAATCAGTAAACCCAAGTTCCTGAAATAGTTGAATCAACCAAAGCAGCTCACATACAGTGGAGACCATAGCTCTATACTCTGCCTCTGATGAAGATTTAGAGATAGTGGCCTGCCTTTTAGATTTCCATGAAATTAAAGACTTGCCAAGAAAATTGCAGTACCTTATAACTAACTTTCTTGTCATGAGACAGGATCCCCAATCAGAGTCACAAAATGCTGACAAATTCATAAGATTGTTAGCTGGAAAAAATAGACCTAAACTGGGAGTAGACTTAAGATATTTCACAACTTTAAGTGCTGCAATCATATGTGATTGTTGGGGACTATGCATAAACTAACTTAAGAGACTGACAAAAAAACTTAAGTCTGGTCTAGTCATGCATAAGTACAGCAACTTACCCACCAGCCTTTGATAAACTCTCGGATCAGAAAGAGGGGGATTAGGACCAGCAAGGAAAAGGTCATCATAAGTAACTGATGTAAGTTTTAAAGTAGAATCCATAGGAACTGCAGAAGGCTTGGATGCAGAGAGACTTGATTCAGATATAAACTCCAAAGCATACTTTCTTTGACATAAGTGAATACCCCTGGAAGATCTAGCTACCTCTAAACCCAAGAAATATTTTAGAACACCCAAATCCTTGAGTTTAAAATGAGAATGCAATAGCTGTTTGGTGGAGTTGATCATGTCAATGCTATCCCCTTTGAGAACAATGTCATAAACGTAGACTAAAACCAGCACAATATGAGAATGCATCCTCTTAATGAACGAAGAATAATTAGCTTTAGATTAAGTAAATCCTCCAACAAGTAAGGCTTGAGTAAGCTTGTAATTCCAGGCTCTAGATGCCTGTTTAAGTCCATATAGAGACTTGTGTAACCTGCAGACTATAGGCTGCCTCCCCCCTCCCCCCCCCCCCCCCCTCCCCCCCCCTTGCAAAACCTTGGGACAAAGTCATATAAATCTCTTCTTGTAAATCCCCTTGCAAAAACGCATTATCCACATCCATTTGGTAAAGTGGCCCAATTATGCATGGAAGCAAGTGACAAAATGGATCTAATGGTAACCATTTTAACAACGAGAGAAAATGTTTATGCATAATCCACACCAACCGTTTGAGTGTACCCTTTTGCCACCAATCTTGTCTTATATCTTTCCAAGGAACCATCAACATTATATTTGAGTTTATAGACCGACTTACAACCAATTGGAGTCTTACCTTGGGGTAAAGGGACTAAGGACCATGTTTTATTTAATTCCAAAGCTTGTATCTTCTTTTGCATGGCAGCCACCCAATTAGGATCTTGAGAAGCTTTATTAAAGGAAGAGGGTTCTACTAGATTGAGATGAGATAAGAAGGCTTGGTTGCTTGGTGAAATATGACCATAAGATACAAAATTAGAGATAGGACATGGGATGCAATTGGCTGAAGTTGAAGTGGAAGGAGAAATAGATGCACAAACAAAATCTGAAGTCCAGATAGGGGGCCTTTTTATACTTGAGAATCAATTCATAACAGTCCAACTTTTAATTCTATAACAGCCCATATAATTGCCACCATTAAACTCCAAATTAATACAAGAAACTACCATGCTTTGAAATGCAGTAACCGAGGCAATCTGCTTTCAAATAAAACAAAAACTGCAATTGCTTTTAATTGCATAACAACCCAAATATTAATTAAAAAAATTGGTATTTTTGAAATACCATAACAGCAACCTACTTTTATAACATAGTGGACCTTTTAAATAAACTTCGCAAACAAATTCCACAAAGTGGTTCCCTATTACTCCCGCTTGTATGAGCATCTTAGGGCGCATTACGGCAATCGTTTGAATCATCTGTGCAAACTTGAAATGCATATTTTTAAGAACTCCTTGGCGAGCCATGACAGTTGCTGTCGGAGCTATACTTTTTCTACCTAGTTTGGTTGAAAACATACTTTCAATTAAGAACGTCTTGGGGTTTTAATATTTGTATTGAATGGTCTTTTCTTATTTTATAATGTAATTTGCATTTAATTAATGATATGGATTTGCTATTTTATAATTGTTGATATAGAAATTTGTACCAACCAGAGAGATCCGATTGACCTTGCCAGGATCAGAACTGATGTGTGCGTGATTAAAGATAATCAAAGATGAATGTGTAAAGATGCAATAAAGTAAATACAATGAGAGTTTTTAAAGTGGTTCGACGACGTTAACCCTAAAGCCTATGTCCACTGTTTTGTATTTGCTATGAGAGTTTACAATTTTTGTAACCCCTTCCTCATTGTTTGAGGGGGTTTATATACAAGTTTTGTACAAAGGAAAAAGCGAAAATAAGGAGATTAAAATTGATCTAAATTGTAATTCTGATATTCTCGCTATTGCCACTGTGATTGTGCAGTGATCGCTATTGATCTAGTCATTCTCACAATATCTGGGATCTAAAGTCAACCGAGAATCAATTGAATGATTCCTCGGATTGTTTGCGACAGGCTTGTGCTGGGTCGAGCTATAGCTCGACTAGCTTATGCTGGGTCGTTCAATCGTCATTGCTGAGCTGATTCTGAGTCGAGCAATATCCTTACAATAGCCTGAGCTTCATAGAAAAAACACATACAACATTTTCCCCTAGTGTTCGATGCTCGTTTCGTGTGTCGAAGAGTACTACTTGATTTGATGTCAAGCTCGACCTTATCAGGAGGTCTCTGAGTGCATGTTCGATCAAGCTTCTAGGGTCGACCTTATGTCTGGCCGACGTACTTTGCACTTGGGTCTTTATTTTCCATGATATGTGTCAAAACTCAGAATATGAAAAGTTAGGGTAAACATGTAATTCCCGCGTGGTCATGTCACATTTAATGCGATAGCCTTTGGTTGTCATGTTTTGTTATGCGTGGGCGACTGCAGCTGTTCACGCGAGAAGTTGAGGTGACATGCGACGACGGCTATCATTATAGCAATCTAACGATTCATCGCTCTTCGCAGATGGTTGACACGTGGCCACGTCTAAGGGCTAAGATCGCTCGAAGAATGAAGGGCTAAGATCAATTGTAGGTCAACGACCATGATTGAACCCCGCCCTTTAATCTCCCATGCAAACCACTATAAAAAGTGGCGAAAATCGTCAAAATAGTCACTCAGAAAATTCTTTAACTCTTTCGTTCTCTTCGCTGCTGCTCTTACGTCGTCGTGGTGGTCTTTCTCATGAGTTTCCAGCACTTCCTTTATTCTGATAAGGTTCTTCTCCCTTTTTTTTTTTTCCATTTTTTTGATTTTTGCATTGAAAAGTGGCTACAGTAGTGGCCACATTGGATTTTTTAGGGTTTTAGTAGGGTTTTTGGGTGCATCTCCGATGGTCTTGGGTTTTATAGGGGTTTAACGCAGTAGCCATTGGTATTCTAGGTAGGTCTCGTATGTTCATCGTGTTGCGCAAGCTATTTCGAGTGCCTAAACTAGAAGCGAGTGTGAAATGGTCGCCGAGTTTTTCCAGTTCTGACACATGTTTGCTTCTTTTTCAGGTATCAAGAAGTGAACTACATCCATGTCTTCATGTAGCAGTCGTACCATAGACCGTATGTTTAATTTGCCAGTAGGCTCAGCAGTTCTTAAGGATGTGACACCTGAGTTCTCCGAAGAATTCATCGCTTGAAGCTCGGACCCGTCACTGCAGGCTTGTCCAATCACGCTTCGATTCAGCTGGCTCACTCCCAGCCGTCCCCAGCTCATAGGCTGCAAAAGGAACCTTAATGCTTGATTACCATCAGGGAGTTGGATCGCATAAAAATGATTTATATTGACAACTTAACTTGATGGTTATGGGGGAACTTTCTTGGAAGAACCCCCTGTCTGGATGGGTGGCGATCTCTTAGATCCTCATTAGGAGCGAGGTTTCCGTTCCCTCGCACTACTTTATTGACAGCATGTTAAGGCGATTCAACATCGTTCCTCTTCAACTAACCGCCAATTCTCATGTGATTGTCATTGTGATGTACATTGCGTACATGATTACTGATTTGGCTGAGCCACCCATCGAGGGACTCGTCCATCTATACACGCTCAAAAAGGGGCAAAACCAGACGTACTACCTTTCTAAGGTGAGGAAAGTACATTTCAAAGGACTGGTCGAAGTCCTGATAAAGGTCTCACATTGGGACACGTAATACTTCTTTTACAAAGGCCAGGAGACCAGTGTCTTCGCTACGGAAGCGAGTAAGGTTCTAACTTCTCATGTGCACAAGGATTTTGAGCTTTGTGCTCCATTAACCGAGTTGTTTTGTTTTTGCAATTAACATCAAACATAATTATCTTTTGGTAGCGAGCTTACAGAGGCTCTAGCGTTTTAGTAACCTTCTTTACGATCAATGTGACTCCAATAAGCTTCTTACGCTCCCTCATTTGAAAGCATATGATTTTTGTTAGGACGAGGCCAAATTCCTTACAGTCTTGGAGAAAGGTTCAAGTTGTTACTTGCTCACGTTTACTTTCCAGCGCAAATAGGTCACTTATTTGTTTGCTTCTTTCCTTACAAAGATGTGGGCCGAGAAACCCAAGGGCCGTAAGAAGAAAACTACAGCCCCGACGGCTACCAAGAAGGCATTGATTGCTTCAGCGACAAAGTAGCTCATAGACACTGCCAGCACTAAGCGCATTGGTGGCGACCCTAGGGAAGGCCCAAGCGTGAAAAATCCCATGACTACCTTTAAGATAGTTGGCGGGAATAGCATTTTCGAGCCTTAAAAGGGACCGGTGAAGAAGATGCCCGAGCTAACTAGAGGCTCGAGAAAACAGAAAGCACCCGAGCATCATGATGGCTTAGGGAAGAAGAAAACAACCGAGCCTCAGGGGGGCTTGGGCAACCAAAGAGTGGCCGAGCAACGGGTTGGCTCGGGCAAAGAGGGTGCCACGCATGCTGGCGGCCTTCAGAGAGCAACAGCCAATGACTTAGCCAAGAAGAAGTCCGCTCCTCAGGCGAATCAAGTACTGTCGGGGGGAGCAAGTCTGGATTGCCCCAGTTGAAGAATAAGAAGATGGATAAGATGGCCTATGTTGCAATCAATATGATGATTGACCAACTCCTTGATCATATTGGCCTCAAGGCCATAACGGCCAGGGATGCAGTCACCTCGTAAACCTACGAGGCCATTAAAGGCTCTGTTCCAACCGAGATGTTGGGCTTGCTGTGTAGCTTTACAACAAAGGTACTGGTAGTTTGCTTCTCTTCTTTTTTATTTGTATGCTATCCTCGCTTTTTGCTAATTATCTTTTTTATTCTCTCTTTAGGTTGCCTTGGCAAGCAGGCTCCTCTATGATGAGTGCTACGACACTTTAGAGGGCACTCATCAGGGATGGCAAGCGGTAAAGACAGTGAAAGAGGATGATTTGGCTAGGGCTGAGGTTATAGAGAAAGAGAAAAAGGTCAAGCAAGCTAAGCTCGAATGGCTCAGGGGGAAGTGGCGACCTTCGGGGTCAAGGAAAGGGAGTTCTTTGACAAGTTTAATATGAGCAAGGCTACTCGAGCCAAAGCTGAAACAAAGGCAGTATCCAAAAAGACTTTGGCACAGCAGCGAGGTGTTAACAACAAGTTGAACTCTGAGCACTCCTAATCTTAGAAGACTACTGCGAGCTGGGAGGCCAAGTTCAAGTAATCCTCATTCGACCTTGCCTAGGAGACAGTAGGTTGTCAGGAGGCCGAAGCTGAGGTCAGGCAACTCGGGCTTCAAATTGAAGAGTTGAATGAGGTTATTACTGCTCGGGCCTGGGCGATGT